CAGGAGCGGTTCGCGCCCGTATCCGCCCCCGCCGCCAGGCCGGGGTTGGGTCCTCCTCCTTGGAAGTGCACAGTGGTCACTTTCTCATTCTTTCTGCCCCTGCTTTCAGGTGTATTATTACGCATTTTTATTTCCCAGTGTTTTTTATCTTTCTAAAAACTGGCCTCCAAGCAGTACGACAGAAACACCGCAGCTATAGCGTTACGGTCTTACACCGCATCGCATAAAGACGAGCAGCACGTGCTTAACCTTTGAGAAAGACGCCTTTTCTTTTGAGGCTGGTGCTCCAATACAGACACCTTGGAACCGTTATTCTATCGTGAATCTTAATGTCGGGGTCTGTGTTCGTGTTTTTGTACATCTCATACCTCAGCCAGTTATTCCTGGAGTATAACTAGCTGTGAGAATCTCGCACCCCACGAAGATTTCCAGCACCCTGCTATTTTAATTTTAGAAGAACACCGGATCTTTTGTCATTTCAGTCCCTCAGAAACTCAGAATCGAAAGAAAAAAAAATAAACCATAGATGCCTTCATAAGCGTTAACTGCATTTTCCTTTCATAGCCTCCAGAATAGATTTTGATTTTGCTTTTAGAATAATATTGCCCTCCTGTGGTCAAACAACAGTAAGCCCGGGAACTTTTGTCAAAGGTCTGCTTGCACATCATTCAAACATGCTTAATTATTTTATGTGTACATACGATTTGGTGAAACAAGTGTCTTTTCTGAGATTACTTGCTCTTACTGTTTGCTTACTAGAGTTCACCGTTACAGGTTTAGGCATCTAACTCGATTCACCCTTTCATGCTGTGATGGGATTGGCTCGTCAGAATGATTCACCGTTTTTTACTTTGAAACAGAGAGAAGATTTTCACACAGGAGCCTAGGGAGACTCAACAAAAGACGCCTTCGTTATTTCCGAGGGTCTCAGGGTCAGCTACCCTGTTGCAGGTCAGTTCAAATCCTACAATTGATTTTTGTGTGATGAGAGATTTTAGAGAAGCACAGAACAGCATGCCTCTTGCACACTGTAAATTGCACCATCAAAGCCCAGATTATCTCATGTGGGCCCTGAAGGTGACTCACCAATACCATCATAAGACAATTTACTTCGAAACACCTACAATACTTAGCTAAGTTTTAGAGTTGTATAACACCGTGGGTCGTTGATTTGATATTTTGTCACTCCCTTTTTATTCTTTCTTCTGCCTTTCTTCCTAATCATTGGAACTTAGTTTGTCAGTTTATACCAACCTGGAATTTATCTGGCAGGATAATTGGATCTCCTAGCAAAATGTCACATTAAGTAGGAATTATGGATAATGCCCCTGCAAAACTAGTTAATGGAAAAAAATGTTTAATTGCTGCTTGAGTAATATTGATCGAATGCAGTCATTCTACCTATGCATTTTTATATTAGGTACTACTGTAACCTGCACAATACAGACAGACCCGTGCTTGCTCAGACGGGTGGATGTGAATTTTAGAGAGATGCTTCTGGAAACAACACTGCTCAGGTGAATACATTTCCTTTGGAGTCTGTGGGGAGTGATGATTCTCGGTGGGTAATGGTTGTGACTGAAGGCTTGTGTGGAGGACTTGTATCCTACAACTTGGCATCTCTTTATGGGCTCTTGAAACTAAGCGTGGTGCTCTGGAGCATCAAACCCTGTCCCTGCTGCTACAGCATGGAATCACAGAAGTATGGGGAGAAGGGACCTCTGGAGCTGCCTGCTCCACCCTCCTGCTCAGTGCAGGACTATCACAAGTACAAGATCAGTTTGGCCGTGGCTTTGTCTAATCAAATGCTGAAAACCGCCTAGCATGGAGACCACAGCTTCTCTGAACGGCCTGATCCAGCCAGCGCTGTGCAGCCCTCTCTATAAAGAACATTTTGCTAATGTCTAACGTGAATGTCCTGACTTGCAAATTGTGGCCATTGCTCCTTCTTATACTTTCTGTCACTACCAAGAAGGGTTCATCTCCGCTATCTTTATAACCACCCTTCAAGTAGTTGTAGCTACTATTAGGTTGCTCCTTAGTTGGTTGGACCACTTGGTTCCCAGCCTGCCCTGAAGCACGGGGATCCTGCCCCAGCAGCAAAATTTCACACTTCTCCTTGCTGAGCGTCATGAGGTTTCTGTTCTGTTGGCCCTGACCTTGACTTTATCACAGTTCCTCTGGAAGGTGGCTCCGTCAGCACTTCCCCCAAATTAGGCACTCTGCACTACCCTCCAGGTCACTAATGAAGCCGTATGGTGACACGAACCCCAACAGAGTCCCCATTGATTACCAGCTGTCAACTGGACCCCGAGCCACTGATTTCTACCCTCTGACCCCAGTGGTCAAGCTGTTTTTCAGCAAGTCTAACAGTGTGTTTGCTCAGCCCACACTTCTTCAGTGTGCTCATGAGAATGGTCAGAAACCTCACTAAAGTCAAGGTAGATTACATCTGCCGCTTTCCGCTTTCCCCGTAGCCTCTTGTCTCAGCCTAGAGGGCAGCCGTAATTGTCATCCTGTGACTGATTAATATTCCTGGCTCTTTCTCCTTTGATGTTATTTCCAACTGAGTAGCTCATAATTTTTTGCTATTAATCCCAAAGAGCATGACCTTGTATTTTGCAGTACTGAATTTCGACCCCTTTCTATTATTCCAGTCCTCAAGGCTGGCAACTTTTCATCTTCTCTAGAATACTATGATCCTTCCCTGTATATTAAATGACTCTCAACTTTGATTGCAAGTTGACTCAGAATAGGGAGTTTGAGAAATTACAGCATGAAAGGAAGTAGACTTGGCATGGACTTGGCTTCAGGGTAGTGCTGTTCTGTGTTGAGCTACAGGAGGATTTTTTAGTGAAAAATTTTTCTTCCCTGCAATCCCCAGTGCATGGGAAAATAATTTCCAAAAGGTATATAGGGAGTGAAGGGAGTGTGACCTAGAAAAACTAGTAAGATGCATATGTCAAACCCAGTTAATTTTTTTACTAATGATACTGATCTATATATATAAAATGCTGAACAGAACACTTATCTTCCCTGTGTTTGGCCTTAGGCTACATTCCCCATCAAAGGCAAAGAGACCCTGTTGACACTTTCCTGGTGAGTAAATCAGTCATGAGAGCAACATATTTCTTTTCCAAGAAACATATAGAAAACCATGTTTTGGAAATTAGGACTCCTGGGTTTCCCAGAGCTCAGCATATTCTTGAAACAAAGGTATTCAGACTTCATCGTACTTTCTCCCTTGCCTGTGCAGCTCTCTGGTCTCATTGTACTGCTTCTATCCACCATCGTCCTCCTTCTCAGTTACTGATGCAAGAGCGCTACGGTGAGCGGGGACAAAAGGACCTTTCACCCCGTCCCTGCGCACCCGCTTGTGTACTGGACCCTTCATAGCTGACCAGTGATGAGTTGGTCCATCCTAGCTGAAGGCATTTTCTCTTTTACAAAGTGTGAATGAGGCAGTGCGGTAATTTTATGCAAATCCATGTGCAGATTAAAAAATTAATCAAATTCTGAAATTTTCATTTAAAGAGATTAGTCTTGAAAAATCCCCCATCTAATCCTCCCAGAATAGTCACTTGGAACAAACCTTCACCGCTTTGTTTTCCTCCTGGGTTCAGTGCATCTCCTGGAAAATTTTCTCATAACGCTTTTGGGACCATCTGGAGCAGCAAGTTTGAGTTTGAGCAGGGCTCACCAGGCAAATTAAAGTTGATATATCAAATGATAGAAAAGATGTGTCACTAAGTGGGAACATGGGAGTTTAAGGCAGTAAAATCTCTGCTCTGTTGTACTTCATAGGTAAACTCCCATGGTAATGCATGAAAAATGGAAGCGGTAAGCCTCGGTGAGCCTAACGGTAATTTACGTACCAAGAGGCCAGAAGAAAGTCATGTAGCAAGAAAAACGAGTAGCAAGAGACACTGCTAAAACTTGCTGTGTCTGGTAGTTTACTGCTGTAACAAAGATGTAATCTGTCTTTTAGAGCTTGAGCTCAAAATTATCCTCGAACAATTGGGGTTTGATCCAGTGCCATCTGAAATATTTTCCAAGCCCCTGAGGGATTTTGGAGTTGACCCTGTGGTGAGCCAGCCACCGGTCACTGCCACACTGGGGGAAATCCAGAGAAGTTCCGATGACATTAAAAATAAACTAACTTAGAGCCCTGAAAATCTCAGTTAAATTAACCATCACAGCATCCTCCGATCTTGCAGCATCTGAAATGCTCGGGATGTGTGATTGGGTTGGCCTACAACAAGCCCAGTTGCCCCAACTTCAAGAAAACCACAAGCCCGTGATGCAAACCCTTGAACAAACCTCCAACCACAGCACCTGGAATAGCTCAGCTCTGCCCAGTGATGGCAGACTGGCCCCTAGAAGGGAATATTTTTCTGGCTTTCAAGTACCTGCTATGGAGCGAGGTGCTGGCTCATTTTTCTCACTGCACATCCACGGCCAGCTCGTTTGTTCACTCTTCTCCTCCCCAGTGTGACTCCAAGTTTATGGCTCAGACTATGCCCCGCTATGTTCATGCTTTTGGTCTCATGCCACCATCCAATTTACGTGGCAGCTTACCACATTTCTGCCTCTAGTGCTGGATTGTTTCTGTCTCCCTCTGACTTTGGCTCTTTGCCTGCAGAATTGCTTTAATTAAAAAGTTAATGAAAGGTAATGCAAACGAGTGCTTTGCCTGTATTTTATCACAGTCCAGCTCCTCTCCCTCCCTCTTTCCCAGGGATGGTGAAAATGAGGAGCTGGGTTTTTGCTGCTTTTTGTTGTGAGAGTTAACAGTGGAAATTTCTGCAGACTTAGGAGGAGCCCTATGAAGAAAGAGCTTATAATGGTAATGCACGCAAACAAGTATGTAGATGGTGAACATTATTCATCAATGAGAGCTGAGGAAGTTTTCATTTAAAGGGGATTAATCTAAACCCCTTACACTCCTCCTGCTCTCTTTGGAACAGGCAATTCTTAGCATTATTTTCCTCCTAAGCTTAGTGCAAACTTCTAGAACACTTTCCAAAAGACTATCTATACCCCAACTACAAATTAGCCTGAGCAGGGACAAAGGGAAGGAGTAAAACCCAAGTCCCACTAGTGCCTGTAGCATGTCACCTTATATCCATATAGAAGAGGGCTCTTTCATCCCTATGTGATTTCTCTGAGAAACTAGGGAATAAAGATTAGTGTGTGAAGCAATACGAGTCACATCATCGTCCCCTTCTCCCAGGCCAGATTCCTCCCAGCCAGCACCGGGAAGAGGCAAACGCAGGGATGTGAGGATATAATTTCCCCACGTGCGATACGCAGCAGCTAACTGGCAATTACATCATTTCTAGACCCACCATCCATGGAGGTAGCCTGAGAGCTGCCATGTGGATTATTTTTCTTTCCAAGGCTGCCTGTTCAACAGTTGGACTTGATGATCTTAAAGGTCTTTTCCAACCTAAATGATTCTATGAAACAAAACGAATCTATGTCTTGGTGTGGGGTGATGTTCAGTTCTCTTGATCTTGTTTTTAAAGCCCTAGTAAAATGAGTAGGCTTTTTATTTTTTGTTAGTATCTGCACTGGATTTCATAGCACTGATTTATAGTTGTTCCCAGATGACATTTAATACCCAATGCGTGAGACTGTATAAATAAATTACATAAGAATGGATTTGTGGCATCATTAGCAGCACCCCCATTCCAAAGGGAGCCTCCAGTGAGCCTGTGTGTCTAATCAGAGCTGACAAGGAGCAGAGTTACACACCGAGACCTCCAAAGCTAATGGGTCTGTGCCAAATTCAGCTCTCTGTTGCATTGGTGTAAAGTTGGATAACCTCTGACTGCAAGGGGGTTTTACACCGGATTTACTCTGCCTTTACACCTGCGCACTGAGATCAGTGTTGGACAGTGTGCCCTAAAATCCTTAGAAGCAATGGAAAGACACGTGCTGACTTCAACAGACTCTGGATCGGGCCTCAAAGGTTAAAATATAATCTGAGTTCAGAGTGCAGAAAACAGATTACATGCCTGCTATTGTAGCAAAAGGCTTTCCAGAGCAAGCATTAGCAGTATGTACACAAGTGCTAGATGAATTAAGCTGGCATTTATTTTTTTTCAGCTCCAGTAGGAGAGGATTGCTTTTAAACAACTTGCGCCTGCTGTGTCGTGTCTGGAGTTGGAGCTGAGCGGAGCCGCTGGGAGGGCACGTGTGACAGGAGCCGCAGCTGCAGGTCTGGTTGTGCTCAATTCCCCTGGTCTTCAGGGTCAGCCGTGCACAGAAACATCAAGGCAGAGACAGAGGCTGTTAAAAGCTTTGGGGCTTTATTTTCTTAAAGTCCCCTGGCTCCATTTAAGCCTTTTTCTCCAACCACTTCTGCAAACCCTGTATCGCAGCTCAGACGAGGCGACCTGGGGCGTGATGCACCTCTGTTTTGTAACACCTTCCTCTGATTGTGCTGTGTTGCCAGGTGAATCGGAGACCTGCTGGGAACGGAGATGCTAATCTCAGTTCCTGAGAGGTCTACAGCTGACTTCGCTGGTGTTAGCACGGTTACTTTGGCCCTCATTGTAAGAGGGCTGAGGCTCAGTGGTTTAAACTGCTGGCAGCACCAGCTGCCATGAAGTTTAGGAGTCTAGTAACAAAGTGATCAGGACACCCTGTCTTTTATCTCCTCATGACTGAAAAGCCAGTCCTGACCAGCATCTAAAGGGAGTGTAGATAGGTAGTTTATCTGCCCTGTGTTTTGCCTTTAAAATCTGTTTACCTAAAGCATTGAATCATTTTTTTTCTCTGGCAAACCTATGATTCTCCATATAGTTTTACCTGTAAGTCCCTTGCCCAGTAGATTGCAGAGTGTGCCCAGGTTTCGTTGCTTGAGAAGGCGCTTGTGTGGAGGTTTTCACAGAGCCTTTGGGTCCTTGCAGCAAAATAAGGCAGATTTAGACCCAGAGGAGCTGTTGGAAAGCTTGTCTGGCTTAATGATTAACACTTTGCAATGCTATGGGAGTGTTAGGACAAAGAGACCTCTGGACTTGGATCTCTCCCAGAAGAAGCCAGCCACTGGCCTTGCACTGAAACACATCCATTTACTAGAGAGACGATTCACTCTCTCAGGTAATTTGAATGGGTCTGTGATCGAGTGTGTTGCCCGAGCTGCTTCAGCCTCTTGGCACCCTGCCTTAATTACCTGCACCATAATTGCCATGAGTGGGAGAGATGCAGATCACAAGGGTCTTTGATCCTGAGAAACCAGCAGTGAACTTGCTGCCAGTTAACAGAGGGAAGGAGAAATGCTGGGAGGGAACAGATGCATGCATGCTGGCAGGGGCTGCCTTTCCTCTGTCAGCACAAGTGTCTGCCCTTGAGCAGCTGAGATCCTTTGGTCCACACTCATCTCTGTTGCATATAATGCTAATACTCAGTGGAGACTAGCTCAAATGGGCTTTCACAGATATGGCTGGCAACTTTGCCTGGATCTGACATCCTATTTGGGCTTGAGCAGACGTGGTGCTTGAGGACATGGTTTAGTGGTGGACTTGGCAGTGATAGGTTAATGGTTGGACTCGATGATCTTAAGGGTCTTTTCCAACCTTAACGATTCTATGATTCTATGATTCTAAATGTGATTTTAATGGATAGTGAGAGGACTAAAAAATAAAAGCAAATGAAGCCTTGTGTTAATTTGCTGTTTGGTGGGGAGACCTCATTACTGGTCTCTCTGTGGCCACCAGCAGCAAGGGATCAGGCAGCCAGCAAGCCTGTTGTTTCTCCAAAGTCTGTGCGTGATGCTGCAGGGACACATGGGGCAATGCACAGCCAGAGAATGACATCAGCATTTGGCTAGCACAAGTAAGGGAGTTAATGTAGTGAAAAGCTCTTCCACCCAGACACCCTGCTCTCTCCAGGAGAGAGAGCAGCTTCCACAGTTTGGAAAGGCATCAAACACTGAGCAAATAGAAATGATGGCTTGCCAGTGGCAAATCTACAGTGATGGAGAAGCTGGCTGGCAGGGCTCACCTTCCCTGCGGGAGGTGATGGGGTTGCAGTGGAACCACAAGCTGACAGGTAGTTTGAATGTGACACTGTCCTTCTTTCCCTCCTGCCTAGGCAGAGGTTTGAAAATGCTGATGATATGGCACCTTCATCTAGAGGCAATAGGAATTAGAGCTCCATGGTTCATGTTTTGGCCTCCCTACTCTCCCTGTGACAGCCCTGTCTCTTCTGCTAGTGTTCACCTTCCCTTGCAGGTTGGAGGGTGCCAGCTGCCTCAGTTCTCAAGGCCTTACCAGTGTTGGTGGAGTGTGTACAAGCCCACCCCACCCAGCAGATTGACTCAGCCCGGCCCCGCTGTGCAGCATGTCCCTCCGTGAGCACGCACTGTCTCTCTTCCGCAGCGCAGTGGGCACCGTCCAGCCAGCTCCGATGCTGAAGAGGGCTGTGAAGCTCCTGGGAGACGGGTGCCCTCAGCTGCTGGTGAAGGGCCAGGCCTTTCCAGTGAAGAGGGGCCTGTACCTGGTGGGTTTCGGCAAAGCTGTGCTGGGGATGGCTGCCGCAGCAGAAGAGATCCTGGGAGACCACCTCATTCAGGGGATCATCAATGTGCCACTAGGCATCCAGGAGAGCCTGCAGCGCAGGAATTGCAGCGATCAGGAATGCAGTAAGGGGGGCTGTGTCTGGACAGTTTGGGGGGATAGGCTGCCAGATTTCTCCTCTGCGGGATGTTGCTGTGAACCCCTTCAGTCCTTCCCAGCTGCCCTCGCTCTGGTGCCCACCCTGTCCACCACGCCACCCTGGTCTTCAACCTCCATCACGTCCCAGTGGCACCAGTGACACAGCCCATCTCTTGCGCTAGATGCGCTGCCTCCCCAGCCCTGGGGAAGACGCTCAGCAAAGGCCGTCTCCCTGTCCTGGTCACTTGCTGTGCACCTCTGGTGCACCAGGCCCATTTGCCTGCTGAGTGACAGCCTGGCTGCCTGCGTAGGTGCGCGTGTCAGTGGTGTGATTGCCTCTCTTACCTCACCAGGGAGATGCTCCTGAAGCCACACAGCAAAATCCAGGTCATCGAAGGTGCCAAGAACAACCTCCCGGACCCAGAGGCTCTGAAGGGAGCAGCTGCCATCCAGGAGCTGGCTGAGGGTCTGACTGTGGACGACCTACTCCTTGTGCTCATCTCAGGTAGCGTGGGGATCCCAGGGAATGGGCTCTGCTGATGGCTCTCCAGCCGCTTGCTCACATGTGGCCGTGCAGCAGGGGAGCACTGTGCTGTGCTGGCCATTTCAGCGCTGACACTTGCACCTCTGTGATTTTTCCCCTCCCTTCTCCCGCCAGCCTTTCTCCAGGGATGCAGCAGGGGAGAGCATGGGGCTACCTGCTGCTGCAGTGGACACGCTATCTCCCAGCACTGGGGAGAGGCTGAGCTGCGCAGGCTGGGTCCTGCAGTTGTGCTACCACTGTGAGATGGCCCCTCTGGGCACAGCCTGCCAGCTGCTCTCACCCCTTGGCAAGGAGACACTTGCTTCCTGCCCCCTCCTTACATTTGGGGATGCAGACTTGGAGAAGCAAGCACTTGGTAGACTTGTGTGCTCCAAATTTGTGCAGGGGTGTGAGTCTGTAAGCTGAGATTCGGGACTGACCCTTCCCAAGGCTTTGCTGCTTCCCAGCCAGTGGAACTGAGGCCCCCAGGTTCCAACAGAGTGAGCTGCATGCCTTGCAGGGTCAGCCCTGAACACCCCCAGGTCCTGTCTGCTGGGCCCCCGGATGTCCCCAGACCCAGGGCTGTGTAAGGAAGGTGGATATTGTGCATCAGAGGGGTGCAGTCACTCCAGCCCAATCTCGGCTGGGTGAGTGAGTGTCACAGGGCAAAAGCATGCAGGGGCTTGGAGCAGCTCTGTAGTAACCCCGTGGTCTCCTCTGCTCAGTGACTGTTCCTCTGTAGATGCTGGAGCCTGATCTGGTACGGAGAGAGTAGTGCTGTTAGGCAAACACCCAAGTGACTAGAAGCTAGCTGCGCTTGCTGGGAATTCCCCTGGGCTTCCTCCTGTCCTTTGGCTACGGGGATCTCCAAGAGACTCCTCAGCCCTTCAGGGAGCTGGTACAGGATCTCCCTGTGGCTGCGACTCCCTGTGCATGTGCACTCCCACACAGCAGCCGGTCCCCAACTGCTCCTGCCTCTCAGCTAGATCCCTGGCTATTGACTGAAACACAGGCATTTGCATTTGTTTTTCTTGCTCATCATGTTTTATTGATGCTGATTTGTCTCAAACCTCTGAGCAGGCTTTGCCTTTTGACAGTAGCTTTCAGCTGTATTCCTGTGCATGTTCACTCTCTGCTCAGATCTTTCTCCTTTCTACTCTGTATTTTCCACCCATTCCACTTTTCCAGAAGAACCTTTTTTCTTTGCCTTCTTTTCCACATTTCCAATGCCCACTTGTATCAGACTGGATTCCCATCGATGAGGCTATCACCTTGGACTCTGGGTGTGCTTTGTCTTTTGTGTTACTGTCTCCCCCTTTCCTCCCAGGCCTAGATGAGCGCAGTTCAGCAGTTTCTGATCTTGCTGCAGCCATAGCTGGTATTTTTACACACTGTTCTGAATAAATGGAGCCAGCAAAGCAGGCAGTGTCTCCATCTGCTTAGCACTGACTGCTGTGTGAGTCATGGAGCCTGTGCCCCCTGCTCACCCATCCAGGTAGCCCTTGAAAATCAGTGTGACGACACACTAGTAGCCTGGTTTAGTGGGGATAGTAATTACTGGCCCTTCTCTGTCATCCCTGCAACACTGCAGACATGCAATACCCTGGTCCGGTGAGGTTTACACTGCCTGGGTGAAATGTAGCTGACTGCAGACAGTGCAGGGCAGCAGTGATTAAAACCCATTAGTGAAGAAGACTGAATTCTCCAGAGATGTTAGCATAGTTCCCCAACCACCTCTGCCTTCCTGCTGCGCACTGGTGAGGGAAGAGGAAAGGCTCAAGGGTTGAACAGCCTTGCTTTCCTCCTTCTTTTCCTGCTGCCCTTGCCATCTCTTCTGCATCCCAGGGGGTGGATCAGCCCTACTGCCTGCTCCCATCCTTCCCATCCTCCTTGAAGAGAAGGAGAAACTCACAAAGATGCTGGCTTCCCGAGGAGCTGCCATACAGGAGCTGAACATTGTCCGAAAGACTCTGTCCTTGCTGAAGGGTGGAGGGCTGGCCCGGCTCGCATATCCCGCACAGGTAACCGAGGGGAAGCCCCTGCTTGCCCAGAGATCACCCATCTGCCCGCAAAATATGGGTTTAATCAACCAACCTAAGCATGCTTACAGGGTTTTTCTCCTGAGTGAACAACCTTTGCACATTGTTTTGGGACTCTCTGGCTCAGATTTCACTGAGGACCCAAACTCTCAGGGAGACAGAGGTGGAAGAGGGGGAATTCAGACTTGGCAAATGTTGGCCATCCCATCACACCACTCAGCAGACCCCAGCCCTCACCCAGCAGGCACTTCCAATGTGCTGGTGCTCCACCACAGTGCTTTCGAGGCTGGGTCCGACCCTTGGCTCCCCTGGGGGCTGTTCTCAGCGCATGCCATCCTTGAACCCACACTAGGTTATCAGCCTGACAAGCGCAGCGGCACAGGTTACTTCTTTCACTGTGATGGTCCAGCATCAAAGGACATCATAGATCTGTGGGTTGGAGAAGGGCAAGGTGATGCTCACGGGACCATAAAACAAAAATGGGCCCAGATCTGCCCCTGTTTCCATCTGCTTTGACATGGGGGTGGTGCAAGTATAACTCAGAGCAGCACTTATGCCAGGGCTCTTGCGTGGTCACCTGTCTCTGCCTCCCACAATAATCCGTGGGTGTTTCTTTTTGTAGGTGGTGAGCCTCATCCTTTCTGATGTGATTGGTGACCCCCTGGACATCATAGCGAGTGGGCCCACTGCTGCCAGCTCCCACAGTGTCCAAGACTGCCTTCAGATACTCGCCAAATACAACCTGCTGCACAACCTGCCCAAGTCAGTGGAAACAGTCCTGTCCAGCTCTCCCACCAAGCCCGCTGTTCTGGAAGACTACTCCCATGTTTGCAACATCATCATCGGGTCAAATATGCTGGCTTTAGACGAGGCCAGACGCCAAGCCGAGGGCCTGGGCTACGCAACTTTGATTCTGAGCACAGCAATCTGCGGGGAAGTCAGCCGCATTGCCACGCTGTACTGCCAGCTCATCCGGCTGGTCTGCCTGGGCTTCGCTGGCCTCGGAGAAGGGCCCCTGAGTTACGAGGTGAGAAGGAATCTCCTGCAGCTGGCGGCAGAGCTAGAGATCCCAGGCTTGAACCTTGCTGAGTTTCTACAGGCCCTGCAAGGATTAGGGCCCGAAAAACCAGTCTGCATTCTGGCCGGTGGAGAAACCACAGTTCAGCTTCAAGGAACCGGCAAGGGAGGGAGGAACCAGGAGCTGGCCCTGCGTGTGGCACTGGGGCTGCACAGGGCACAGGCTATGGAAGCCAGCAGCCCCCCAGGGAGGTGTGAGATCCTCTTCCTCAGTGGGGGAACGGATGGGCAGGATGGGCCGACGGAGGCGGCAGGGGCCTTCTGCAGCCCAGAGCTGGTAGATAAGGCGCTGCAGGAGGGCCTCGATGTGGAGGCCTTTCTCAGCACCAATGACTCCTATACGTTCTTCAGCCAGTTCCAAGGTGGGCATCACCTCCTCATGACAGGCTTGACCGGCACCAATGTGATGGACATCCAAGCCATTTTAATTAGAGCCACAGACAGACCATGAGAGCTCCCTCTGCAGATATCCAGACGTATTTAATTAGGACTGGGGGTAAATGGAGGCATCAATACTGCAGGCAAATGTAAACTACTTAAATTAGGGCTCGCTGTCGAGGGTGCTAATGCCTTTGACAGAAAGAATCCACTAGACACGAGTGGATGTCCACAGCAAAAGCAAGCACTTGTAATTGGGATCAGAGGAAGGTAAGAGGTCACATTACAGACATGGAGGCCAGATTTAACACTTCTGCTGAGAGCCATCATTCTTGTGACTGCTGTTAAAAGATGTGGGGAAATCAAGGCCGTGGTAGGGCTGCCAGGGAGAGCCCTCACTGGGGCTCTTGCACCTCCAGCGCCCCCAGCTCAAGAGCAACTCATTAGGGGGCTTTTGCAGGTTCACAGAAGTGCATTACAGTGACTGAAGGATGTAAAAGCAATAGCAAGGCCTGCCCAGCTGGAGGCATGGAGGTGCTGGGGGAACGCAGTGGGAAGGGGACACCCAGCACCAGCTCCACGTGCCCACGCAGTGCCCTGCAGCTCTTCTCATACCAGGGTGCCCGAGGCGACACAGAGACCCCGAGCCCAGCACAACACACACCCAGCAGCGTGGCTAAGGAGCACATTGGCCGAGAGCAGCGTTTCGTCTTGGACGCATGACAGGAGAGCGGTGCCCAGTGGCACAGGGGGTGGTATAACTTCACTGTGCGGCATAAGGAAGGGGACGATTGAGGTGCAGTGGTGAGCCAGCTGAGTGGAGCACTTCGCCTCCAACCTCCTTCCCTCCACAGGGACATCTTCCCCACTGGTCCCTGTTGGGAACGCCTCCATGCCAGCAGCACGTATACTATAAGCATTCACGGTGTTGTTTTCCAACTGCCTAGAAAACAGTCACGCAGCCAGCCTGAGCCACTGACCTTTCTTCTGTGCCGAGGCAGAAGTCGCTGTCACTCTGATTAACTCTGCTAATTCTGCAGAACAAAAGGGAAGGAAACCTTCATGCTCGGCTCTCCTGACCCATGGTGCTGAGCTGATCAAAGGGTAAAGCTGCTGGAGCTGTGCTTCGACAGGGAACCGCTCGCCCACATGCATAAGGACGTAGTGGTTATTGTGTGCAATATGTGGGAGAGCAGAGATGAGCCGGGTTTCCCAGGATGTGGAGCCCACACTGGGGCTGGATTTCAGAAGGGCTCTGCTTGTAGCAACAGGCACAGTGACGGTTTTGGCTGGATATTCAAAGGACTTCAGCTCAGCAGCCAGTATGACCCAACACGTCCAACTCCTTTTGAATATCTGACTGTTTGTTACAGAGCCTAAGTGAGAGCTGAGCTCCTTTGAAAATCCAGCCCTAATTTAATACGACACGCTTGACTCAGACTCTTTCCAGACAGACCGACCTACTCCGTGTGGCTGATCTCATCTCGTGACATAAATACACTGTCCTGCCAACACCGTGAGTCGTGGTGTCTCACCGAACTCTGTTCTGCACCCTGCTCCAAGATGGATTGGAGGGTGGATTTTTGAGGAGAATGTGACACCTCCTGCTTTGGTTTCGAAGCCAACATCTAACAAGCAGGGATATCAGCAGGACCCCCGTCACGGGGCCAGGTATCGGTGCCAGCCTGGCAGCTGGACTGTCTGGGCCACAGCCCAGGCATAGTGTCAAGGCACAAGCCTGGGGATTTCAAAACCCTGGTCTTTCCCCAGTGGTTTAAACTCATCCACGCATCTCATTTGTCCTCAGAGTCTGAAGGTCTTTTGTAACCTGCCTGAACTTGCTCGCGCTGGCAAACAGCTTTGAGATCTGCTGGGGAAAACCTGCCAAGCGTTATAAAGCTCGCTGTGCCCCCGTAATGTCAGGTGGCGGTTGCGCAGGAGAAGCTGCTTTGTGCCTTGCGTTTTTCTCCGGAGGTCGCCAGCAGGTCACCTCCTCCAAGCCCAGCATGCCAGCACCGCGGGGGCACTAACACGCGCAGTGATACAGCCAAAAAGTATGGGCTGCGGCCAGGATAACTGGCTAAAGCTGGCTCCAAAACATTGTTAATGCTTCCCGTCCGATTCTGCTCCAGCGAAATCCAGAGTGACTCCAGTTTTGGGCTGGGGCGCCTGATAGAAGGGTCACTGGCATCTTCAGCAGCAGGTCGGGCGTGCCAGCCTGGGCACGCTGTCACAGGCCCACCATACCCCTGCGCTCTGCCCGCAGCCCTGCCATGTTGCTGCGTGCCGTACTAGCCTGTGGAGCTGCTGCTTGCGCTGCGTCGCAGTCAAGTTCAGAAGACCTTGGACTAGTGCTCGCTGGCTTCTCCTGGGAAATGCCTACCACACGTAGGCCTCCTGAGCAGTGTCCTTGCTTTCTAAACAGTGGCTTTTCACTAATGATTAAAAAGAGTTTGTGTCAGGGAGGAGAGAAGGCTAATAAAAGGTTTGTTGAAAGGATGGAGTTGTTTAAAGTGCACTTCACATCTACATTTGCTTGGCCTCCATATACAGTTTTTGTTCTTGTGCCTTCTTTCCTAATGAGGAGATAACAGGACAGGGGGAGGTTGACCAAGGACACCCAGGTTACAGAAACACTTTTCCTCTTCTGATGCTTCTACCTGGATAGATCAAAGCTCCATTTCTGAGGTGAACCTAGTGCATCCTCTGCCTGGGGAGGAAAGGAGCTTTGGAGCGTGCACACTCCTTACAAACACGGCATCGTTTTATTCCTCTGGACAACGCTCAGCACAGAATTGCCTGTTACTGCTCCAGCCCAAAGCCAGCTCCCTCTGACCTGCAGTCCCTTCGCTGACAGCAAAAGACCCCACGCATGAGCCAGCATACATTTGGGCCGCACGGGTCAGGTTTTGCAAGGATTTGCGAGATAACAGTTGCATCTAAAGACTCGATAGCATTGCTTACCTGCCAAATAACGGTTTGCCTCTGGGCTGTCAGAGCCTGCCGCGAGTGATGACTTTCCCATCGAGAACTTGAGCGAGTCACCACAGCTGAGCAGGGCTTTGCAGCTTGCCCGCACTGTCCTGGATGGGATATTAGCATCATGTGAGCGCACCCGGGCAAATGAAGAAACCCAGAGCATGACTGTGGTCGCACCGAGCGATCCCAGCGTGCGGGCCATGCCGGGCCCAGCTCCGCACCATCCTGGCTCTGGGTGCTTGCACCTGAGGAAACAAGTCGCAGAAAGAGTGAGGACGATAAGAGCTGCTTGGTTTTGACGCTCCCAATCCCTTCCCTTTTTATGGGAAAAGCAAAACTCTTTCTACACCAGCCAACCTCCGCAAAGGAGGGAGACGGGTGGAGATGGCCTAAGAGCTCCCTGGCCACGTCGCAGTACGTGGGCAGGGGACACAGGGACAGCCACCAGGAAAAGCACGCTCAGCCACCGGGCAGGGAGCGGGCGAGCAAAGCCTGGGTGTGTTCTGGGTCGATTTGCTCTCCTAAGCAGGCTGCTCGTAGCCAAACAGTGCTAATGGCCAGGAGAAGTAACTGCGTTATTAACAGCGCAAGCTTTTGGCAGTAAATTAAAAATCTTGGCTGCCGCCCTTGGCTCTGCTCTTGCCTCTTAGGAGACATTAATATCACAGCTCCCCAGCATTCCCATTATCACTTCATTAAGGATCCAATAATGATAAATGTGGATGGTTTTATTTTGCACAGAGCCTGATTAATGGCTAATATTTCACTAGGTGTTAATGGGGCCCTTCCTTTATGGAGGGATCGGAAGGGGGCTGCCTTTCATCTCCTCCACAAGCCGGGTAATTTTCACTATTTTCGCTAATGTGACAGATTTAACGCAAACCTTGAAAGAGTGGCTGAGGCCTCTTGAGGAACTTTGAAGAGCATCGTGCTTGGGGCAGCCCTTGCTGCCGTGGCTATTCCCCAGCTCCTTTCTTTTCATCATCATTGTCGTCGTCATCATCATCTTCCTCCCCCTCCTCCCCTGTCCTGCTGGCAGCGCCTCCTTCCAGTGCCTGCACCCAGAGGCTGTTGCCCATCTCCCGGGACAGTGAGGGGCAAAAGCAAAGCAGGGGTCTCCCCAGGGATGAGCCCACCAGCACGGCCACCAGGGGCTCTCTGCAGCAGATGTGGTGCAGAATCAAGTGTGCCCTTGCAAGGGGGTGCAGTGCAAGGAGTGTGGTGGTGCTGCCCTCACCCCAAGGCTGCTTGGCACCCCTCACCTGCCCCCTGAGAGGGCTGGGGAGCCCGGGATGCAGGACAGAGCCCAGGCTGAGGCCAGCAGCCCTCCTCCAGCACCCCAGGGGATAACTTTGGTGACTCCTCCAAGACTGGCTCCCGTGGCACAGGGGCTGTTCTCCGCCGTAGGACCCCGGCGTATTGCACGGCTTCAATCCCTATATGAAGTGGGATGTATAATCACATAGGAATAAAAAGCCATACAAGACGGCAGGCCGCAAGTTGCTCCACGCTGGTGGGGTGACAGGCCAGCCCCTCTGGAGTGGCTGCCATGGCCCCACGGGGATGGGATAGGGCTGAGCCCTGGGGAGCCCCCCAGCCCCTGTGTGGGGTCCATGGGGACACAGAGGAGCCCTGCATCAAACAGAGAAGAGAGGCAATGTTTCAGCCAGGAGAAAGCATGGGAGGCCCCAGAGCCGCTGGAGAGGGAGCCCCACGGGGTGTCAGTTCTTGCTCCCAGCTCTCCCAGCTAACGGGGGCCTCCCACACCAGGCCCCCCCTTGGAACTGAGACAAGACGTGCCCTGTGATACACCCAGACCTCCCCTCTGCCCATCCCTGTCCCCAAGCATCACCCCCCAGGGGCTCCTCCAGCCTGGGGACCCTCTGCTTGCACCACCGTCATCCCCAAGACTTTATCAGCCCCACCAAGGCAGTGGGTACCACAACCCTGCAGCGCCATCGCAAACACCTGGTGGGGGGAGAAAAAGGAGCCACCCCCTCCCCATGGCAGTGGGAGCATCCTCCGCTGTCTGACTGAGAAGAGGAGAGCTCTGCGGGTGGAGCGAGCGGTTGCAGGGAGCTGTCAGCGCCTGGC